CCAGCCCAATTTGTATCCACACAGTGTAAAATTGATTTATTTTATGATCCAGCCTCAGAATGTGAAATACTTCCTGCTATATTTGTTGGCAAGAACTATCTAAAAGTGTAACTGAACTTTTGGCATCTCTAGTCTCTGGCTGTGGCCATGCCAAATATGGGAGTCTGCAGAACTGTATGATGAGGTAATCACATATAAGGCTTTCCTGGACCATGGGGCTTGACAGTCACAGCAGACTTCAGGAAATGGTCTGTGTGGTTCTGGCACATGCCATACGGTCCTGCGAAAAAGAAAGTCTGACTTCTGAAGCTTCGCCCAAACTGGGTCATGCAACAGAACAATGATCCCAAGCACAGCAGCAAATCCACAACAGAATGACTGAAAAAGAAAAGAGTCGAGGCATCGCAATGACCCAGTCAAAGTCCAGACCTCGGTCTGATTGAAATGCTGTCGTGGGACTTTAAGAACTCTGTGCATAAACAAATACTTGCAAACTTCAGTGAACTAAAGCACCACTATAAAGAAAAAGTCCCCAAAAGTCTTTTACAACCAAGTCATGCAGAAATGATTCTTCTCCAAAGATTCTACAAGCTATTGAATCATGAGATCTACTTAATTTTTCACAGCACTGAATTGAGTCCTTTGAGAACAGGAAGAACGGCACCGAGCAGTAAACAGTCTTTAAAATGAAGAAATTATTAGCACACCTGGACAGCCCATCGGGAACAGCAGGTACAATTTGTTGTGTCCTCAGGGTGGGTTTGGACTGTCACAGATACTCAGCATGCCCGGCATTATTATCAAAAGCAGGTGTAATTTAATATTCCCGTTCAAATCCGCACATCCGGCACAACTTTCACTCTTGCTGCTGCAGTGACACTGATGCAAAAGCATGTCCTTAAAAAGTAATCATCACATTTCCTGGCGACAAATACAGCGACCAGCCTTCCCTTGTTAAAGCACAGTCAAAAAATAGTGTAGCACACTGTAACGCCTAACAAAAGTTTTTTATTTATTTTATTTATTTATTGTTTGCAGTGGAGGTGCCTTTTGTATTTTAAATTATATGCTAAAGTTTGATACTTTCATACTTTCTAAAATCTTTTACGCTTGACTATACAGTGCTAATTTAAACATGTTACCATGCTAACTCTGTGCCTCCTTGGTGTAGGAAAGTTTTTGGGCTTCGTGCATTAATCCATGTGTGATTATGTAGCCTTGGCCATTTGTATACATTTTGACCATGAAAATGTTCCTTCCTGATAAAAACACTGACCAGCGGTTTGCTCAAATCACTGGTTTATGTGTTCAATCACAAGTTAAATGGATTAAGGCCGTGCTGTAGACTCGTAGCTCAGTCACGATGAACTCCTGCATCGTAACATAGACATCAATTACAATAATATCAGCAATTACATGCACTTATTATAGCTTACATAAAAAGATGCTTTTATCATTAGAATATAAAACCACAGCTGGGTTCTGAATATAAAAAAGGCTAATTAGCATATTCATTATGGTTTTAATATGTTTCACAGTACTGTACTTTCAGTGAGGACAGTAGCAGAGTAAGATACTACAGTAATTAAAATAAGCTTCATGCAAACTGGGCGACTCACTGTTTCTTCTCTCTTCTGAACTTGACAAAATGCACATGGATAATGACAGCGTGGAAAATTAAATGTCTCAAAAGCAAGGTAAGGGGTTGATTAAATGCAGCAGTGGTGGTCTCTTAGAACCATGTGTGAGACAAAGGTAAACCGTTAATAATTAGAAAATGGCGCGTTTTTAATTGAGCACAGAATGTGCCCGTGAATAATCCGCTGAAGAACAGTGCCGCTACACCTAGCACGGGAAGGATTTGCTTTAAATTGTGTTAGCAATTTTTATTATTTGAACTTTTGGATAAGTTGATACAAATTACCAAAAAGAAATGACAAATCTATTATTATTAGTTATTAGTAAATTTGCACGTTCTGTCATAACATCAAAATGTGATTTATTATGCATTATGATATGTGAAAGCTACAGCAAGAAGACTGCACTAAGTATCAGTTTCTTTAAATAGACTGTGACCAGCTATGTCACTTACTGTGTGAAAAAACAATTGTGCCTACGGTAAAACTCTGTGGACTCGATTGGGACAATTTGCAACAAAACAATGAGATGTCCTTCTGTTGTTATAGCGAAGCAGCGTTCGTCTTTCATCTTGTTTCTTCCTCTTTGTTGCTCTTGCTGCTTATTTAGCTTTCTTTTTCCTCTCTGTGTGTATATCCATGTCTTCATATCACGCTGGAGAACACTCTTTAACAGCTTTAAGAATTACCCATTTTGACCGGGTTAAAAACTAAGCTTTAAAGTACAAAGTAATTTTGCTGCTTGTTGGAAGAAAAAAAACCCATCCAGTCACTTTGATCATTTTATTGTTTGTCCAAGCAGAGAGCTTTGTTGGAATCGATTTCCCTCCAGTATAATTGGTGTCATGCATGGTTTGGCTAAATAAGCCGTCACACCAAAAGATACTCGGACAAACTAAAAGGGCAATGTTGACATTTTGCTTAAGAACACACCGAGCTGTTACGCTGACCCCAAAAATAATCGCATCTACTTGAAAATACCTGTTATCTAATCAACGACTAATTCTGTTTGGGATCGTTAAAGTTCATCCGCTGCTCTGTATGTAATGTTGCATTGTTTTCCCTGCTCCAGCTTTTCCAGTCAGGCGTAGTTCATATGTCATTCAGATCAACAACGGGAATAATTTGCCGTTACCAAATTCCCTAATATATCTTGCTTGAGCTTATGTGTTTTTAGCAGACTTGCTTCTGTAATTGAAGTGCATTACCACAAAATAGGTCCACCTCATCATTCAGTCATGCTCAGTCAAAGTCTGTAAAACCCCAATTCGCTGTCAGCTATCCAGCTTAATGTATTTTTGTTAACAGAAAGTACAAGGTTAAAAGGTTAATATCTGCCACTGACTACAATTCTCTGTGCTATTGTAGCGGTGCATCCGGTCTCTCTCTCTCTCTTTCTTCTTTGCTCTTCCCCAATTGTGCTATTGTGTAAGTGCACACTCACATAGATGCTCACACACGCGCGCGCACACCATACGCACTCACGGCACTCTCTCTCCTCCCCTCGGTGTAAAGGTTGCAGCAGAGCCATCCATCCAAACCCACAGACCATGAAATTAGGTTAAGACGTAAGGCTGTGAATGACACAGGTGTGGATACAAATGAGAACATCCGAATGAAGAAGTACAGATCCAAGACGGCTGATACTGTAGTCGTTTTAGGCATTTAGAATTATATTTCACAGGTTTCTCCTTCATTTTTATTTAGCCCCACTTTTCCTCCTGTGTATTAGTGGTCAGGGCAGGACATTAGCATACATGCTGAGAAGCTGTGCATGAGGATATTAGGAGCGCTGTCATATTCCAAATCTCATTTCCTTTAAAAAACTTTAAAGTCGCTCATGCTTGTCTGCGCTCCTCTGCTCTCTTGTATAAATCAGAACGCTTCTTTTCTTTCTTTTCCCTTTTCTGAATGCAGTCAAATATTAAAAATTTCCCAGCCCCGCTTGTTATAATAGTTTACGTCCATGTACGACCAGGAATTAACAAGTGATAAGCACGCTTGCAATAATTGGTTCCTGCTAATGTACCAAATATAACAATAACCATATTAACTCTGGCTTTGAACTTTTCAGCTAAATTACAGAAAAAGACAATGTTTTTTTTTTTTTTACAGGAAATATTTAAATATTTAAGACAGAGGCAACTACAATTACTTTTGAGAATGTTAGGAAAAAACATTTAACTGCATGTTTAATTTCTAGCATATGCTAGCAATGGCTATCAGTCAGTGCATCGTCTGCTCTTGAAATAGCCTATATGAACACCATGTCAGGAACTCCTTTGCACTGATATGTTAGTGCAGTGTAAACCGCCATTGCATTTTTTATCTACTACATAAGCAAATTCACTGTAATATTTACTGTACCAAGTGCTGTAAAAAGTAAATGTCTTCCTTTTTGTGACCCATTTTATAGAAGGAATCTTATATTTAAAGTATGGCTCAGTAAATAAGTAATTAATAATTTTATTCAATAGACACAAAGTATAGAGCACACGAAAGAGAGGAAGACATGCGGCGAAGGGCCGCGGGCCGGCCGCTGTTAACTGTATGGTAAGTGGGCGCCTGCTCAATGCACTGAGCTAAATCGGCACCACAATAACAAGGTGTAGTTTTAATTTGTAAACATGAAGTATGGCTGAAAAAAAGAAAATCCAAGAAATGATAAGAAACAGAAGCCAGCCAAAAAAACAAAAAAAACTAATACAGTTTTGTAAAACTTTGGAATTATGCTTGAAAATTGCTAACAAAACCAAAATGTGCCACTTTTAATGCATCGGTACCAAAACAATGACTGGAAATTGATGAAAGGATTGAAATGATTTAATTTATTTATTAAAACAACTTTTTTTCCTCTTTTGCATTAGTGTAGCTTTTATACTCTTCAACAATTAAGGAGTGAGTTGTAATGGAAAATCATTTCCTCAAGTGCTTTTTGAAATGGAGGTTGATAGGAAAGTAAAGTAATTGACTGGTCTTCGATGGTCCCAAATTTAGCTATTAAGCATCATGCTAATGGATGTAGTACTGCATTAACACAGAAGCCAAGAACAATTACTTAAATACGATAAAGGCAAATAGATATCAGGAAGGCTTTGGCAGTTTCAAAGAGCGCTGATGGCAAATGTCCAATTTACACTTTGAGAAAAGCCGACCGTAACACAATTTGCTCTACGTATAGTGGAGACACTTTTTCAGAGTGCATACCTTTTATTTTTCTGCTCACGTAGTACAGAAAGGAGTAGAGAAACAATCAGAGCGCTCTTAAACCATCAGATTTAGCATCAAATCACTATAGAAAGTGTCACAGCTTTTGAAGGCAACAGCATCTGGAGCTGGAAATGCAGGAGCACTACAATGACTATTGCTTTTACTATAATAGGTATTGACCTGTGCATCAGCAAGAATCTGCTGATATCTGCAGTCTTTCAAACCCCACTGAATTCAAACATGAAAAGTTTCTACTGCAATCACGGCACGTCTACATTGACACAAAAGATGGCCGGGCACTTAAAAGAGAATAAAATACGTGCATCGGTGAATGCGATTATCAGCTGAATCGGATTTTGATTGATAGTCCCATCGGGGGCATGTGGGGTGCATGAAAGAGAGAGTCAAAAAAGAATTTGCCGACTAATGGTCCGTTCCGTTTTTTGAATTATGTTTAACCTGGGTATTCAAGATACCATGACAGTGATAATTAAAGACTGGAAGTGTGAGTGAAATTGGAATGCCAGTCAAGAAAAACAAAACCTATACATTCCAACAAAGCTGTGATTAATTTCATTGAAGGACTGAGAAATAATTGCCTTCCAGAGACTCGAACACATTTACATAAAGTGCAAATCGAACTCTGCATTGAGTTGTGTAATAGGAGAAAGACACTGTTCCCCAAAATGTTGCTGAAAACATGGTTTCCACCCATAGCAATAGCATTCGTGTAATAGATTCAGAGAGCAGACAGTTTCTAGGGTTTTTCTTTTCACTTTTAGAATCCACAGTGACAGAGAGCATGTACATTACTAAAACAGTAATCGCTATTATTATGCTGGCACCCTTTTTTCTTACAGCTTGATAACATCACATAATCACATTGTAGCATTGTGCATTTACCTACATTTAACTGTAAATATCCTGCATAAATGTTATTATTTAATATACGATTAAGAAAAATATTGCATGGTAATTACATGGTAACAAGTTTGTAATATAAAGTTCTAACATTGTTGCTATTATCATTATTGTTGTTTTTAAAATAACAGCTTCTGATAACATTGTAACAGTGGTGTAACACTGTGGGAACAAAGAGGTAATAACCACACAATAACCGTTACTTACATACATATAAATAGTAAGTTGCATGGTAATTACATGGTAACTAAGCAGTAACTATGGTAACTATAATATATAGTGGTAACTATAATATATAATGCTTATTATTATTATCATTATTATAATTATTATTATGAAAGCGGTTTATCTATCTCTTTTTAATGATGGGTTTGCAACCATCAGCTGACTTGTTCTATATGCATTCTTCCAGTGCCAGTGTGAGCAGCTCCTGGTGTGACTGTTTTTGGCACAGGCAAATGTGGACTTAGGAGGCCGTAAAGAGCTGTTGACTTGTGTAAATCAGTGAGGTTTGAGGGCACTCAAGGGGCTGCCAAATACAGTTTGCGAAATAAGAGCCCATGCTATGAGCAAGGATACAGTATATCTTTGCCTCTGTAATATAGTATATATAGTATGCCTTTTTTGGAAAATGCAAACCCTTACCACAAATCTCAGTGAATGAATGGAAGCAATTTTAAAGAAGGTACTGACAATATATACAATAGCAGCACTTACACAATATATATAATATATAATAAACTAAATAAAAAAACCCTTGCATCCTTCTAGGCTGTGTTATTCCAGCATTGCATAACGATATAAACAAATACACAGTGCTCCTATAGTTCTATTCACAGCCTCGGAATGCACAGTTTATATGGAATGAATAGGAGTTAAGTGGAGAATCGGCTCATTTAAGGTGTCGTCTGCGCTTGCTTTTACACACACACACAGACACACACATTAAGTTATACTGTATAAGCACTTGCGGGATGCCAAAGGGTCAAGTGGTTTTCACTGCGCGCTAAGAAAAAGTCCTGATGCTTGCTAATATTTCCTGATGTGTTCTTTTATTTGAATACCGGGTGCTGCCTCAGCTAGCTCCTATTGTCAAAGCTCTCTATTTGAATGTCAACACTATTATTACAGCAGGTGATGCAACAGCAGGTGTCTCTCTGCCTGTCTGTCTGCTACGCCCTGCCTGTCTCTCTGTGTCTTTGTGTGTCTCTCTCACCCTCTCCTGCTTTACTTCCCTCAGTTTTGTTTAATAGCTATCATTATGTGTCTGCCAAATGGAATCCATTTGAAACCCGCTTTTTCTACCCTTTGCAAGCATCTCTATTTTTCTAGGCTTGACATTCTACCACTCTTTCACACTTAGACTGTAATGGGTGAAACGGAGAACGTTCTCTGTTGCTGTCTCGCCTCTCTTTCCCAATTGTTTACAGCTGAAGCCCTGACAGTGGAGCTTCTGACTAGCTTGGGGAGAATGGACACTTTGACATTTCACACCCTGAAATGTGGCAGCGCACGGTATTACTAGTAAATGCTGTTCATTATGGCCTTGACAGCTGATGACCAAGATTCAACCTTCCCACACCTGCCTCTGCCGAAACCGCACAAAAAAAGGACTTTCTAAATTCGAGATGTTTGGCGCGATCAAAGCTGAGAGGCTGTGTTCTTTTCCTCTGCTCTTCTGTCTCCTTGTCCTTACGTTCAACCATGTAATCAAGTGCACTTTATTGCTGTCATGTCTGCATAGGCCTGACTATATTTTCAACTGAGGCTTCATTGATGTTGAGAGACTCGAGACGGCGAGAGGGGAGGAAAAAGCACCGGGGCTATGGAGATGGGATGATAAATTACCTTATAGAACAAGGAGGAGAGCTAAATAAAAAGTTTATAAGAATTTGAATTGTCGCCGTAGAGTTTTGTAATAAAGGAAAAGTAGCAATGAGGGTTAAATCAATTTGTGTGTCACACTGAGATATATATCCTTCAATATGAGGTTAGCTAAATTTCTCGTCTACATTTCCTGACAAGCAGCGGAGGTGGCAGGATTGGTGGCGCACCTATGAATCGGCAAGCCTCCGTAGGAATTTATTGGGACATATAAGTGTGTGAAATTAAATTGTAAAACTGTACTTCATCTCTACACATCGGCGTATGTTTTCTAACAAATGATTAAAGCTCAATTATGACACCGCTGTAAAAGCTTTATTCTTATGTGATACGCAGAAGGAAATTTAGTTCAAGTGCTCGTGTATTTCCTGGTTCAAACTAGACCCTTAATGAATTGCTTTTTCATTAAGGTATTGCTTTTTTTTTTTTCAATTTGTTCAGTATGTCATTGTAAGTCAGCACAGATTTGGCAAGCACACTTTAATGAATCTGGTGTGGTCTGATTGCTTAGAGACTACCGCGCCTTCATGAAGTACAATAGGGAATAAGGTGATTTCAT